AAGCTGAACTATGTAACTTTCCAAACCACTACTACCTCCATTGGTCAAGGTTTGCAACATATGAAGCAGCGTGTTATGCCAAGTCTGTCCAAACCAGTGGACGATCACCGATTACGCTTTGGGGCAGACGAACCGCTCATCAGCTTCATGATCACTCTTACACGCCTCCCCCGGGCTCAGCCGTTTTCGACAGTGAATTTACTGTACCGGTAGAACCCTAATATTTGAACCAAAAGTACAGCCCATGCTTACAACTACAGCCCAAGTTATTTTGTTTCTGGTCCGTCCACGTTCAATTTGAGGTTGTTGTCCACTTACTTCCGAATGCTGCTGCAGATGAATTTACATAAGCAACGTCCCTAATACTGTCTGGGATCCGCGTGGCTTGGTTAATTTAGGTTACTTATAAGTAGTTGGGAGCTCTGCAGATTTTCTCCCCAGATGGCTCTTGTCGGAGTGGCCCTGCTCGCCACCATTGTTTCGATTGTTCTACACCAAAGGGAGAACCATTGGATACGCGTTTCGTGCTTGTTATTCGAAATCCTGATCGCACCAAGATCCTTTCTTTGAGCCTAAATAGTTTCTGCAATTTAGGCGTTGTAATGCAGACGGGTTCATCGATTTGGTTTCGGTAACGCGCCGGCTATCTTGCATATCAAAGTCCAACTTCCAATGCAGTCAATACCATACGCTGCTTTTGAATTCCCTTTGGTGTGCAGTGCGCAAAATATTCATGACACGTTAGACAGCATCAATCTTGCAAGCATACCTGGTAACTCTTCGGAAAATAACAACTTATCATTGAAGACGGTTTGCAGTACTTTTTTTTCGTCGTGGCAGAACCTCCTTAACCGGTCTTCTCACCAAGACAGACTTTCTGACGATCTAAATTATAGCGGCCGGGACAAACGTATCCTTTGTACATGTTTTCTAGCTAACAAACTGAAAATGAACCACAAATCTCGACAGCTTAGTGCGAGCACCGTTCCCACTTACAGTTTGGCATAAAAAGTTTAAGAGCAAAAAACGCCGCACACACATACTGGCTCTAGAAATCCGACGTTATCAAAGGAGCACGAAGTGATTTGAATGTGACACTTCGTGACAACAATGAGTGCGGTCCGTGTTTCATTTATTCTTGTTCGTTTGAACCTTTGATCAAAGCACAAATCAGGTTCGGCTTGTTCCCCATTTCGACAAAAAAACGTGAACTTAGGACCGACCAAAAAACTTTCGGCTCTCCAGGAGATCCTATGGTCATAAACATTCGATCGGTACAGCTCGAATTCACTCGCTGGTGATCAGAGCTGCTTCAAAGTGGGTTGTTTATTCTACATATATCATAGCGATTCCACTGTTATTTCTGGTTTAGCTCCGGTCTTTATGCATCAACCCAAAATTGACTTTGTTAAAACAGTTTCATTCTTATTATGAGTTACCCACATGTTCATCTTTCCCAGTTCTGAATGCGATTGTAGGTCACCAGCTTTGCCGTAGGTGTGGCTTGCCTAACTTGCATTCAGGTAATGTTTAAATCCACCGATCCTTTGGCAGAACAAAATCACGTCACGTTACCCGACGTCCACGGATACTTTCTGCGTGGATCAAATACCTGTATTTTTAGTAACGAGGTGTTCATGTCTGAATTTCGCACCAAGTTCATGCTGAAAAGCCGCAGATCGTTTCCCATAGCTTCTCTTGGGACCTCGAAGTTTAGTGTACCAAAATCTGGAAAGAGACTGCCCACAGCCCACAGACTGCCCACAATCGTCGTGGAATCGTGTTTTTCGCCAGCCCCTTTTTTCTCCTTGAGAGGCATAAAAGACCGAATCTCTGTGGTGTCCTGTACTCGGCACATCACTGTTGTATAAATTTAGGCACCTTTCAAAAAACACCATGTCGGATCAGTATTTATAACTGGCGAGACAGTCATGCGAACTCTCATAATGCCGAATAAGGACCGCCGAGAACTCAGTGGCTTCATGAACCAGTACTGCATTAAGTAGCTCTTGTGGGAATACTGGAAAATTGTTCCCCGTCATTTTCGAGTTCACAAAAAAGATCCGCGAAAACAATGAAGACCGACTCTCGAAAAATGCACTCACATGCTTATCTTTTTGGTTTTAATGGGAAACCCAACTGAATCTGTGGTTTATGATGCTCTTCAATTGCATGTGCTGCACAAAGGCCGCCTCATGTTTCAGTTGGTACCGCGTTGGAGATATCACAGTGCATCCTCATGAAGGAAACTACTAACAAGGCTGCCAAAGATAGACCAAATGCTAAATGAGAAACTGTGACCATCACATCTATGCCCATCAGATTGTTCTGGAAATGGACGAAAACGCGCTGTGTGATGTAGCCTTTCGTTATCCGCGTCGATAACTCGGTAATTATTAGTCTTCATAAGATCATTGAACCCAGGATTCATAAATCTTCACCTGGCTTTACCCAACTTGATCTGATTACGAAATTTACAGCTGAACGTTGTGCGGTCTGCATTGGATGTAAACAGTTTCGCCATCAAGGTCGGTGTGTTTCGGTGAATGGACAGTAGAGTAACTGAAGTTCAGCCAAACTGGAAAACGGAACACCGTGACTGCTGAGACCACACCAGTCGACATATCTGGTCACTTGCCTAAGGACTGTACATTTCATGTTCTAAGAAGTAACAGAGAAGATACTCCAAAAGTTATCTGATTTGGTCGACCTCCTCGTTTTGCAAACAAAGTAAATATGTGGGAAAAAGCCAAGCGCCAACGCATGCTTGCTTTTTCCAGTTGAAACAAGGATGGGAACAGAAAGGTTTATTCGTTCGTGGTTGTTGACCAATTTTCGGGCACAGCCGTTTTATCTCGGACGAATATGTACATAAACGACTAGTTCACGAAAACTGGAAAAGCAGCTAACAAGCTGGAGAAAAGAGAGGGAATTGACAAGGCGAAACGATTCCAGATAGTGAACAGTTCATTCGAGTATGTGTTTTAAAAGTCTGAAGCATGAATTTGAGGTGAGTAGACGGGAAACAAAAAAGAACCACAAAGATCTGTGTGCTGATGTTCTCGCGTATGAATGAACACGAGTGCTGCATAGCGGGCTATTTACTTATCACTGACAGGAGATTCCTTCAAATATTTCTTTAAGATCTTTCCAGACCATCCTGCGTCTACTAATTAATCTACGTGTCAGAAAACTAAAGGGAAAGTTACCCGAAGTTCATGGCACTCCTTTTTCGGCAATCCACTGCAAACGCCGGAAATACTGTATCAAGATGTGATGCTATGTCAAACCAGAGACCATTTGACCAACATATTTTGTACAACTATCTTGAGTTAGTGCATGATAGCTCGTGATAGTTACGGCCATGATGGCTGAACTAGCCTCAAGATCTACACCCCACCTCATCATGAACATAATCTCAAGAATTTGGAAGGGATTGTTGGAAAGCAGGTAGAGCATCTAAACTGTTCTCTTCCACCCACATGTCTGTGAACTTTTCTTCACAGTTTGTGGGCGCAAGCACAATCGGCACAAAACTTTGACAACTGATACGATGTTGGATCACTGCTTGTCAGCTACAAGCAATGCCGTCAAGAGGGCTGTTCTAGATTGCAAGCAAATTCTTCCTGTCCCGTGGTGCTTAGCTCACAGGCCAGTCGACCAGGCCACCAAGCCACACAGACTATGATTTAAGGACAACGACTGTTGGAGACCTGAAGACGTCTCAGTCCTGCTGCACTAACAGACAAAGTCTCACTGCCATACAACATAATGGCCCGTACCCTTGAGATTCAGTGATATAGCGCATTGACGCCATAGATATCTCAAATTAGTGAATGTGACCCGAACCTCACATATTCGTTCATTGACCTCATCTGTCATCACACTACAATCGGAACTAATATAACTTCCAAAATACGTAAAGCGTTCCACAAATTCAAGCACCTCTCCCTGGGTTGTAAGTGAAGTGTCAAGTGACTGCATATCTATGAGCCTTGCCTAACACAATGTGGATGGAAAGTGCATACCAAAGGACTGGAAGATTTTGTTCAGTTCGTCCATCCACAAAGTTCCAGAAGCATGGATTTGAAATTCACTAGGTGGACACGATCGGATAAATGCTAATTTTTAGGCTTTATAAGCCGGTCCACGATGACAGAAAGACTCCCAATTTGGTTGGCCAACAAGTCATCGTAATGGCTGGGTGGCACATGAATAGCCCAAGGCAAACCAAAAAACGACGATGAACTGGCCAGTCGGTGCCCCGGATTGGCTGCTATACGTGTAAGCAAGACCTCAACACACTGACCGTTTGTTTTCAATCTTACAAGCTTGCTCAAGATGTTGACGGCAATCGGTTTTGTGGGAGCGAATTTCCACACTATAGTAGAGCGTGTTCTGTTACCTCCATTGTGGCTTGAGTTGACCGGTTGACCGAAAAACTCGTGATATAGGTGGGAGGTAGTGGAGCATATATTTATGGGACATATAGCCTTCCAGTTTCTAATTCGAAAGCCTTCATCCGCCATCAACAAGAATTTTCCGGATGCTAAGCTAGACGCACTAACCAAGCCTACTTATCCGGCACCGTTTCCTACCCAACAGAGTCTCTCAGTTGACTCTGGCTCATCCATGCTGTATTTCTTTATCTGCATCTGTGATGCATCCTACTTATGGCTTAAGCGTTCGTTCAAATGGGTTTCGGATCACTTCCAGATCTATCTACTCGAGGCACGGTGATAACAATCAATAGTTCTATTCTTAGTCATTTAGTCCAGACCGGATTACTCGTGCACATTTGCTCAGTGTGTAAACGTTAATCTGTGTGGCTCTGTAAGCTCATAAATGAATAAGTTGTATGTGCTTATTTGTGGAAAGTCTTATAAGCTTTTCAAGAGAATAAAAGAGTCATGGTTTTGTCTTTGTTTCCAACTAGTGCTTATGATAATGCAATCGCGCACTGTATTTTTTATTTTTTATTTCCCCGTACATGGCTATAGCCACCTATCAGACGAAGGAAGAGGAAAGCAAAGACAGGGGTGCCAATGCTTCTGGACTCAGTGCTGACACCTTGGACACACTGGTTGAATCCAATGGCCAGCACAAAACGGGTTCCTCACCAATGCGTCTGTTAAAATCGTTGGGTGAGATGTGGGTTCACGGTTGCTGCGTGATGGTCACCCTAATGTTCACACTGATGTTGTTTCCTGCTCTACTCCAACCAATCAAGTCGATGATTGACGATCCCGAGAACGTATGGGCATGTGAGTCTTTCGCGAAGACAGTACCTTTTATTCGTTTTGATCTCTTGCGAACTGCATAGTTATTTTGCTTCCCTGTTTCCTTTACAGCTAAATTTTTTATCCCTGTTATTGTATTCTTGTCATTCAACCTCTTCGACTGGATTGGTCGTACCCTGGCCGGCTTCATCAAATGGGTAAGTTCGATGGGCTTGACAACAATCGTGATATTTCTCTTACTTTTGAAGCGTTCCATATGTCTGACCGTACATTCGAGACCCCATGAACTGTGAGCCGAAGGGGCGATGAGTGGCTATGCAAAAATTTACCTATCTATCTCAGTACTGGATGAGTGCAAGCCAAACTAACCGTCTTTTGAAACTCTCGCTGACCAACCAACAGAGTTGATTGTCTGTCATTAAAACTATACTTGTGTCTGTTGCCAACACATACATAATGGCTTCATGATACCGACTGTTAGAAAGATCTTAATCACCTGTGTGCTTTAAGCCGTCCTGGCAATCGGTCTGTGATGATCATTCCTGAATGTGGATGGTGTCACGTAGCTGAAACCTGATAGTCATATCTCACTTGCTGCCTGGTGAGTGTTGGGAATAGAACGATAAGAAATCATTTCAAATCATCATTGCGGCCAGATTCGGCCAAACATGTCTGAAGTCTTAATGCGGCCAGATTCGGCCAAACATGTCTGAAAAGGAAATCTCTGTTGTGTACACATCAAGCACTGTAAATCAATGAAATAATAATAATACAGCAGTTTGTTTAGGATGGAACAAAAATGGTGTACCCATGTCGACATGGTGAAGCCGTAAATTGGACATTGCGTGAATTGTCCTCTATCTGGAGTAATTTTCATCATATCGTCGAAGAGCAAATGATGGACGGAGCAACAAGTACACGAAACAAGAGAACAAGGGAACTTGTCTCGTCTTCCTCTGTTGATTGATTCATACAACTCTTCATTCAGATTCCAATTGGTTATAAACGTATATTATATGAATTTACAAAGATTTACCATAGAATAAGCTGAGAGTAGTGCACACAAATTGAAGATGATGGCGTCGGTGAATTACTCACTGTACACTGGATCTGTATACGACCCGACTTACTCCAGAAGATCACTATTGTTGATGTGCGAAAACAGAAGCTGTTATTCAGTGACAGCCTTTGCGTTTGCAAACGAGCGGTTACTGGGTGCTACCTCCCTGAACGGGTTCTAATGCACGCTTGTCATTTTGATCATCAGATATTCCTTTCTGACTAGGCTGATCCACAAAACTCCCATACAAAATGACCAGCATTTGAACCAATGTACATCCGGCATCTTGCTACATCCAAATGCTGCACGCGCACAAAACTGACACCATAATCGTCATTTTTCTATAAGCAAAACACAAGGCCACCTGATTTTATCTGGGACTCATTTATAGCCACTGCGATGCACGATGAACGTACTGCAATATGCGTTATCTGGCTTGCTTGTTTGTTAACGAACAGTCGTTCATTCCAATGCGATCCACTATAGTGGCAGTACAGAGGATCCGAATACCGCTATCGTGGATTATAGATGGCTAGTCCAATATATGTGAATGATGATGGCGAAACTCACCAGTACGATCATGTCAGAAGGGGACATCCAGCTCACCTGGCTAGTGCCTCGTTCTCAGCCCGCTGGTCCTTTGACTTTTGAACGTTCTGTCTCAACTTACTGACAGTTCAAACTCAACTAGCTTAGCTCACCGGGCTACACTGACCATAAAACTTTCATTTGTAGGGTTTCAGATCACTAACCGAGCATGTTTGCATGAATACATAACCAAATCTTACTAGATTTGTCAAAGAAGTGTTTTGTGAAACTACTACCAATGCTCCATGACAGGATGTAAAAGCCCACAAGGTCCTATCGGTAGAAATGAAGTGAAATCGTAGCGAATCGCCTTGGATTTTCCCTTGGAATTATGTGAATTTTCATCCGAAACTCAATTAACGGCATGGTCGTCCTTCCCTTTTTCATTTGAGATTTTGTCTGCTGCAAAGCTGAGAACTGCGCAGCTGTTTTGTCCTTATTGGAAACTATCGGCATCTTACAGACTTCGAAGGAGTTCCAACGGCCACCTCCTAGTTAGTGTCTTGAAAATTTGAGCCTTCGGCCACGAACTGCTGATTCACACTACGATTAAATCGCACTTGGATATGTCCATTCGTTAACTATAGAATTACTAAATTACCCTGCAGGTCCAGATGGCAGATTTATCGATCTGAAAAAACTTCAGCAGGGTTAGTGGTTATGCTCTTTCCCAGTAGCACGATAATGAATGAATCCCTCAACCCGAGAAAACAAAGCGATGTTCATAAGATGCGGCTGCACATGTGATTAATAAAAAAGACTCATAGTCCAGCCTATAGTGCAAATGTTACTACTAGTGAGGGCCAAAATACATGGATAATTGCGATGAAGTTGTCTCAGTGACAGTAGCTCGGAATAATCTCTCCAAATAGGGGTGAGTGTTACCAGACAACTTCCAGCACCCCTGAGATCTCAGCCACACAGCCAATTTGCTTTAGTACATTTCAGTTCGGAATAGTAAAATAAGGTAAGTGTTGTAAGTGTCCGTAAATTTCAGCTCTAGAACCTTAAAAAATCGTTCAGCCCTTTGGTGTCTAGTTGCCGTGTTGCCAAAATGAAGCACGGGGCCCAAAGTACTGCCATTTTGCCTGAGCCTAGACAAGAGCGGTCGAATTACAGTGGTTGGGTTCAAACCAATCCTCCATTCTGTAAGTTTGCGCCTAAACCAGCGATCTAACTCGAGCTCAGAACCTTAGTGATGGAAAAACCCTCCCAAAAAGAAAACAACAACATTACTTTGAGCGGGCAATGAAAAATTACGGAGGGTATCCCTGCATTTTGAGGCACACATTTGACCTTAAAGTAGGGCTTTTCGGCCCATGTTGGGTGATTGACTGGCATCGCTTCTTGGTCACGCCCGAGCACTCGAGCATCGCCAGTGCCTGTTGATTGGCTGATTGAAGGTTTACTAGATAGCTGATTATCTGACTCGTAAACTCGATGATTCTCCAGAGACGATTTTGGTGGAGTTGGCTCTTCCCAGTAAATTTCGGACTTTCTGAATTTATCTTCAGGAAACTGACCATCCTGATATTGATATAGGAAATCATCTGGTATGACAACGACGTGCCACATGCATAAAATGACCATTCTGGAAACAGGAAGATCACGGAAATCCGAACAACGGCGAGTGTTATCACGACCCCACGGCTGTTCGGGAGACCTGACGTGGGTGTGAAGTCAGCCCGGCTTCTTTCTATCTGCCTACGTTGGTAGGCCATGATCATTTATCATTACCCGTTAAAACTTAACAAGGGGGCAGTGGATTTGCCTTGAGCACCTCCAAAGATGAGAGAATATCGGCTCCATAAAGCGACATTTTAGCCAACCATGATGATCCATCTGTTACGTCATACTGGATTATGCTTTATTGCCTGCGTTTCTTCCTTCTGCCCGGTTATGAAAAAAAAAACGGAAATCCATCCAGAATTGAATATATCGGAAATAAGAGCAGAGTACTTAATGCCAGAAGACGGAGGTTTTGTAGTTTACTACATTCGTCTCACTAAGCATTCACGGCCACTTTTAAGACATATGAAGGCCTCATTTCAGCATATGGTTGAGGACACTATGTGACGGAATCTCTCACCATACAGCAATTCCCCGGAGTAACCTTTCAGGGTGGTGATTCTAAATGAATCCACTTTCCTTATCTCAATATTTCATCTCTCCTACCAAAAAACTAAACCTCAAATTCTATGACAATTATTCATCAGTATTAACCAGACATAACTTCGGTTAGTACTGTTGCAAAAGTAAGACCTAATGAAATGTACTTTGTTGACTCACTTGGATGGAAATGAAAGCTGTCGGAACGATTACGAGTGTTTTTCTGGTAATGCAGGCTCACCAATTTTGCTCTGGCCTTCCAAATCCTGACCGAAATACCACCGGGACTGGTAGAGCTTCCCCGGTAGATGAGTGTGCTTATTACTTCCGTAAGCACGAAGTCAGGGTTCGAGCCCACCCAGTCTTGCAGCAGCACTTCATACGTTGCAGGTGTAAAAAGCGCACACCAAACCGTGAGGCGGAGTTATTTAGATGCTTCAATGTTGTTTGCATCGCGTCCAGCCATTTACAAACGTAGCCTGCATTTCTTATGAGCCTTCTGTTTTAATCACTTATGAACACAACGAAGTTTTGCGACAACCTAGGCCTGGCCAATATTTTGTTACCAAAGCAACTTAAAAACAGTCACAAAGCCATCCGTTTGGGCCGCAATGGCCAATAAATGGTGCGGTCGATTTTGACCGTGGATGCGTCCTTTCAAAATCCAATTTAGACTCCCAAGTGATCGTGTGATCGTTTCCGTGTTAAGTTTTTTGAATCGATGAATGTCTTGGATCAGGAAATGAGTTTAGGCCAAAATTAATGTGTGCAAACTTGGGACACATATGTAACGGGAACACTGATAAAAACAAGTCCCGTTGCACGCCAGGTAAGTGCAACGGATTGTTTCACCGGCAACTTACACTTGCGTGTACTCTATTGCTAATAAGGTCGTGAAAGACTTCGCAGTCCCCACAGGCATTATCCAGATCACGAACTTGCCACCAACAAGAGGTGAAATAGTCAATAAGTGGACAATACATAAGCAATACAAAATAGTTAGGATCTAGCGTATTTTCCCAAACGTCGTGTGAGCCGCAATAAAAATCAATAAACTAGCAGATAATGCTTGCAAACCTGGAATCTCCATTCACCTATTGAATCTGTGAACCAGTTGGCCACCCTAAGGGACAAATCACTTCCGTAGTGAGCATCCATGGTCAGCCTAGTGGTTTTCCGGGACTTGTTTATTGATTGATTGTTAATTATGTTGTGCAATGCAGCGACCTTGATCCCATCCTGTTCCTCTTTAAATGAGTAATTGTTCTGCCAGTAGGTATTAGCCAAATTAGAACTAAAAACAAAAGTTTCAAGAGAGCAACCTATTATCACAGAAAGAACGTTTTGATACAGTAACGTTGTCCAGTATAACAAAAGTTATCTTAATTGATTCCTACAGTTTTCTTTCTGTTTTGATCACTCATTTCAAACAAATCAACAGATGCAAGTGTAGCCTGCGCAAAAGCAGTGGAAATAAACCAATCCCAGGAGCAAGATTATCAATGGATAACGTCAGCAGCTACTTATGCGCTTGAAAAACAACCACGAGTTATTTACTACTTCAACTCTATGGCGAAGGCCGTTTGGTTTTTCCCACCCTTAATTTTTACGGAATTGCTTGGTGTTCACTGACTGGTTCAGAACCCTGTAGACGGCTGTTATCAATTTCTTTGCTTGTTGTAACCGATAAAACCTTCAGCTATTCGTCAACCAAGATTCACTTTGTTATTTGGTCTTCATTTACCATCCTGCCGTTCTCTCTTAAGGTGACATCTAGACACAATATGCAAACCGGCCACAATGAAATTTGTAACCCCAATGTCCTCTGTTCCCAGATTTCGCAACTAGAGAAACACTTTTTAATGGTTCTAGATATAACTTCATCTTAGTCAGATGGCCTGAACCAAATGTAGCGTTGACATGTTTTGTTGGATTCACCACACCTTTCCAAGTATCTTACTGGCTGTAACTGAACCCCAGTTCCGAGTAATCCTGTCAGAATGTTACTCATTTTCACAGTGTTGGATTGCCAAGTTTTGTTCCTCAAAGTTGGGGATTTTCTGGTGAGAGTTAAGCAACTGGAGGACGAATGAGGCGAGGAGGTGGATCACTGCAATCCCTAGGCTTGACTTACGACAGTAAGACAGCAGGGTAGATAAAATAAATAGGACCTGTATAATCGCGTTATTATTACAGGGGATAACTAGGCTGACCAAACTATCGATTATTCGGCGGCCGGGTCTAACGAGTATCTTATCACACTGTGGTTCTTCAAGTGCACGCCTTAATTCTAGTCTTAATCCAACCGTAGTTTGCTGTGACGTGACGGCTGTAGAAAGGTTGCTCAAGGCCGCGGTGCAAATCTCATCATAGGTCATTGAACTGATGTTACGGTGAGACGTGTAGTGAGTGAAGAATGGACGAAGCCATCGGCTCATCACGCTTCATACAAATTTGTCACATCTGATCGACTGCAAGCCTAATGATCGGATCCGTCCGGGACATTGGCCTTTTTAAAGCTTTCCTTGTTGCTGGTCGACGACTTGTCTTTGAGGTCATTTCTGTACGGAAAAACGTTTCTTTTCCGGGTTCTCTGTATGAAATTATTCTCATTCTTTCGCTCGTTTGAACTAAGTGGAAATCAAATATGACGCTTTAAGTCTTAATAGTGTACTTTTCTCCTGGTTTTCGGAGTTCAATCAATTGTGTTAGCATCGGAAACAGCCTTGCCAAAGTAGCAACGCTCACATCAGTTTTGCTACATAGGAATGTTTTTTACAGTCGTATCCGTCATTATCGTCATCTTCACCCAGAATACCAATATCAGTGTGGATACTGCTGTCCCACCGAAGCGTAAACTCTAGGTATACTGATTTTCAGGTCTTCAGAATAAGCAAAGGAAAAGAATGAGCGGGAAGGGACTAAGTGGTAGTCAACCGCAGGCAGTCCCGGATTCCCACACTTCCAAACTATCAATCAGACAGTCTGGCCTGAACGCCAATGACACCGATTAGACACCAGATCGACAAAGTTCTTGCCATAAACGAGTTGAACGCCAGGGCTTGGTAGACCTTTCATCGTTTGCCTGATTTTTCATCAACAATACAGAAAGTGGACATCCTCGCTAAAGTTTTTCAGAGATATTTCGACGCGTCATCTCATAGCCGGAATTATCTGAATATATCGACCAGGTCATATTAACAAACATTGGGGGCATCCTCCATTGAGCAAGCAGGCTTAGAAACACTGACGAATGGTCAAAGTCGAATATCCTTTCACGTCAAGGGATACATGATGGTGGATCGCCTGTACGTATGGCGTTACTCCACTACCTGATGGAATGTGATGATGTGGTCGGTAAAGACCACCCGGTCAAAATTCCGCCTGGTGACCGTGGGTCAGGTTTCCGCATGCCACCTTAAACAGACAAACAACTAGTGATCCCAGAAGCCATGGTACAACAGGCGCCAAACCTACACTGCTCTAGTGCTAATACAGACTCAGTCCAATTGTTTGGGACCGTCTCCTTCTGCACGACAGAAGCAAACAAGTGAGAAAAATACTGTCGTCTTCAAACAATGGGTCGATGCCAGGAGCGTGCTGACACTTGAGTATGGATGTACGCTCGAGCAGTCTGAGGTCGCTGAGATTTTCGTATTCACACTCCATATTTCTGTACAGGACCGGCAATCTGAATGGGAAATAACAGGCAAGCAACTGAGTTGCTGCTGAAAACATCCTGCCCAGCAGACTAAAGGCTCTCCTTTTTGGAATACCAGAGAGTCATTGTGGTCCCTCATGGCTTTACTGACATGAGGCTTCCGGTGTTTGATCAGAAAAATCAAGTGAAGCAACTTGAAGATGCTTCCAGCTTTGTTCATTTTCATCTCTTCTTGACCCGCCATGTCCTACTCAACCGACCGATAACTGTGTAAACGATCTCTAGCCGATAGCTGATTCAATTGCAGAGACGGTAAAGCACACAGTCAGTCTTTAATTTGTTGGCTGATAAGGAGAAACAAATAATAAACATGCTGCAGCCCATAAGCACTCTCATGTGGTCCACTGTGTAAGAGAAGGCTCAACTCTCAATTGGTCTTCTTTTAATTACAAGCCAAACCTAATAGATTTCGAGCTATTAGGTAAAAACAAATAAGATGGTCCCAATTTTGTAATCACAAGCTGACCCAAATCCTATGTTCCAAGTCGACGAACTCTAGAACCCTCAGTCTTTTTGGTTCGTAACAGCTTGCCTACTGCTCTGATAATAATGTAACCAATTGGAACGTATATCAGTCCATTCACTCTCTCGTTTTGTTACTCATGTTTTTGTTACTGTTTTTGTTACTCTGTGAGTCTTGTTTGAATACATTCCATTTTTTGTCCAAATAGCCGCGAGTTCATCAGCGTTGGATCCTACTGGCCTTCTGTCTGGCCCGTGTGGTCATCGTACCTTTATGTATGTTTATGAATCAACAGCCTAGAAGACACCTGCCAGTGGTGTTTATGCACGATGCTTTTCCCATCATCTTGGTAATCCTGTTGGGTCTGACAAACGGCTACTTCGTCTCTCTTGCTATGACCTATGGACCTAGGTAAGTCCTTTCGTTTCCATATATTGATAGTATAAATCTCGGTTAGTGGAGACCACTACACCAGTGAGATCGTTCAGCTCATCTAAAAACCGATTCGTTAATTGTTCACAAAGCCTATTGACCTCAATGAAATATCGCCATTTCCTTTTGTTCAAAAAGCGGAGCAAATATCTCATATTTCCTCGATTGATTGCTGAATGATGGCACGTTGATTGCAGATAACTGACAAACTCAGTGAACGGAACAGCAACCGAATAATACATGGCTAAAGTTGACAAGTATGCTGATTGTACGGTGCTGAATCTTGAATGTTAACACGGCAAGATTTCTTTTACCAACGTGGCCGTCAGAAAGAGACTCGACCTTATCGAGGTGTGAGAATTTGTGTATCACGGCCACCCACTGATCTATACTGGGGAGTGACCTACGACAATTACAGTCTCTCATACCAGGTTCGTCAATGGTTAGAGGTGTGACAAACACAGGGTCCTGGAGGTTGAAACATGTATGGTGGCGTGTCCCTTAAAAATAGTAATGTGCCAAACACCGCTGCCTTGCGTTCAGGCTTTTGAACCAAAGACTTTGGTTGAGGACTCTAATCGTCCTTCTGTCTGTATGTGGGCGTCCGGACAATATCCCTGCCCATGTATAACCATGAATCGCTCATGTACAAATAAATTTATGCCATATCGGCCGTCGTGTTGTGCCATCAGCCGGGTCGAATTACTTGCTGCATACAGCAGGGCTGGTAAGCGAAAACGGGCTACTGCTGACGCCTCCCTTCTTTCTCCTTCACATACTTTTTCTTCCCCCTTCCCCAACGCCATTAATAACTGTTTCCTTGTAGGCCCAGCACTTATGATTGCTAACTCCGTTCTTCTTACATCGGTTTTGTGAGCAGCATCTGCTCGTCACATGGCGCCGACATCCTCAGGTATTTCTAGACCAATCTTTCAGCCTCGACACCCAGTCTAACTGGTCGCGTTCAATGTGCGCACTCTGAAGCAAGCAGGACAACAGGCTGCTCTTACTCCCACACTGGACTCGTTGGGCATTGATGTGTACTGTGTCTCAGAAACAAGAATTCAAGATGCAAGCACAGTGACTGAGCTAACCGCCCCATCACTCTCCACTCGCTTCCAGCTGCGCACATCTGGTGATCCTGAGGCTGCTACAATTGGATATGTTGGGGTTGGTATCATCCTGAGTCACGGTGCGGAAGTATCCTTGCTTGACTGGATATCCGTTGACAGTCACATCCGTTCGGTTCGTCTAGCAACGTCTGTGAAGGAGTTTAACAAGCTGGAAGTTGATCGATGCCTGTTTATCGTGTTTGCTTACGCTCAAACAGACTGTAGCTCTGATGCCGTCAAAGATGGGTTTTATGACATCCTGAATGCTCTGCTGCAGCAAGCTAAAAGCTCAGATACTGTGGTGATTGCCGGAGATCTGAATGCACAAGTGGAAAAGCTTAACGTATCTGAGACTCAATTAGGAAGTCGATATGGATTGGACTCGGTATGTACGGACAATGGGGAACGATTGCTTCACCTGTGCGCTGATCGTAGACTTTTTATGCATTACTAAGTTCCGCATTAGCCGAACTCGTCTGGCTACAGGGTGTACTCCAACGGCAGGCCGGCCACAAACTCAAATCGACCACATTGACATCGGTTACCGATGGCGCGGATCAATAACCGACTGCCGGTTGTTTTGGAGCATATTTGTGGATTCCGACCACGCACTCGTCCGGACTCGCTTCTCCCTACGTTTTACAGGGCCGCGTTAGGTTTGGACAAGTATCTTGGCAACTGAAAAACACATCCGGATGTTAGACGAACTTACCAAAATCATTTTTTCCACCGTCAGATGCGAAAATTGCTCACGCACGTAAAACCGAAATCTTGAAGTACGGATATTCAGACCAAATTATGGTTTTGATCAACAAAAAGTGCTGAGTTGGGAGTGAGCACCTTTTTGATGGAAACGACAAGTTCTGTGCTCGTTACAAAACACAGTTTCGAATTACCCTCTGAAAGAGAATGGTTCAGAAATAGGAAAAACAATGGATCTCGGATTTTCCACCAAAACCAAGTGCACAATAAACACTTGGAAACATCGGAAAGTGCTCAGGAATATGACCCATGGCTTACGCGCTCAGTCTAATGTCACTGGTTGCCAGTTCCCTCATTTGGCCTGTTAACATAGACGAAAAATGAACAAAAACAAAGCTTTTTGAAAAAGATTTGAAGCAGCATTCAAACATTGGAAATTTGTTGAAATATTGGTGCATTGATTGGTAGTCGTTCACACGGCTGTTGATCTGTTCGCCGAGGTTGGCAATTGATTTGTACACATGTCTTCACAACTCGAGGAAACATCATCAGCGCGCACTGATGAATTAGGTGAATCAGTCACACCTGTTGCTATGATATTACTGAGATTTTTAGGAGTGGTAAAATTTCAACAGCGATTTGTTCTTAGGAGGTGAACGACACTGAAACATTGATCGAATGATAAGTAGGAGAACTGGTACACTAAAATGTTCAAACATCTTTTTTACGAATCACAATCCTTAAAAAAATCAACCCGGTTTTCCTTTTCCAGCTTTGCATCCCCCGGGACCAATGAAGGTGCTGGAGCTGCTCTATCAATTTACATGTCATTGGGACTCTCTCTGGGAGTCGCTGTTTCCGCTGGTCTGGCACTAGCTATTTGAGTGTGGGACGCTTTTTCATGCTATTGGGTGTTGACCTCCGCTGCGAGTATTCCCCACGTTCATGGACTGGTGCCATTTCGACTTATCTCTTTTATTACTGGTCATTTTACGCTTGCCTAAGGCAACCACGGGTTCTCAAAGATGGTACTTTTCCACGGTGATGGTTGTAATCAAATGTATTACGTGTCTATCTGTGTTATTCCCATTACTGCAATGTAAGCGGAAATTTTGAAAATCTATTTGGCTCTTTACGGTTTCTGTTCAATAATGATATTGTTTTTTTGGATGTTTTGAGTGAACCGTGTTTTCTTCCTAACATCTGATCTGATCGGAGATCGATAATTGTCGATGTGAACAAGCGGCTATGTTTTCTTTCTGGAAGACACTTCGAATTCATAAGACCATCAGTTTTAGTCTGCACGAGAATGCACGATCGCTGGGATAAAACTACAAGGCTGAAGATCAGTAGGTCTCAGCGAAGTGAAATGGAGACTCCACTCCATTCATTCTCGTTAATTCATAATCAAAGTTAAACAAAATGGATTGTCACCTAAATCTTTTTGTTATTTCCGCCTGTAACGGTTGCTCCTTCCAACCTCATATGAACCTTTCTCGGGGTCGAACGCTTGGTCCAACCCTTTATGGATTTCGATGTCTTGTTAGGTTCCAGGCCAAGGGTGAAGAAAAGTGGTTGTCTTTGCTTTCGATTAGCATAAAATCTGACAAGGTCTCGAAAGAATGACAAGTAACGCAATGCAAAAAACAGCGTGCTTTGGATAGTCAAGTAGGAGCTTTCGAGTTCCTCGGGACTAAACGGATCTCATGTCACAGCAAGGTTTGGAATGTCAAATTTCAAAGCAGTTTGCCGACTCCTCTGCCCAGCTCAAGCAATTAGTATTATAAACCAAGATATTCTGAATTTATATTTCGTCCTGTGAGTGAATCCCATCTATACTGAAAAGTCAAGATGCACTGGACAGCTGTTCCATCCTTACTGATAATCATCAGGAATGTACTTCTTATGAAGCTCAAAGGCGAAATCTCATTTGAATATTATCAGATCTCGTCACTCTACCATCAATCTATAGGACTTTCACAAGATAAGTGAAAATTCAGTCTGAGAAGTCATCGCTCGAATGGCCAATCATCAATATGTGATCACATGATGTGGTTTCTGTGATTGAAAAATGAGTGCCACTATGCCCTCTCCATACGAGAGTTAATCACACTTCTGTTCAGTGCTCGTAGCCGAACCGTCAAGTGTTTAGCCGCCAGCTGGATAGCCGTGGGTTCGAAATTCTCCACTGGCATTTCATGCTATGTACACTTTTGATGACTTCCAATGAAGTTGAAGAAGCTCTACGTTGATCTTTGGCATTTCGGCGTAGATTGGCTTCACTGTCAGGATAAAGCTGCCAAAACTCCTCACACTACCGTCAAGGTATTTAGCCTCACCTTATAATCGTATTTTCACTAAACTTGCACAGGGTATCGTGACTAATAACAAACGGTACTTTGAACTCCTAGTTCCGAAGGCTTTGTCGCAGGGATGCAACTGTGCTGCACCCTAATATCTAGGCTAGGTATAAGTGCCCTGACGTCGTTGTAGGCATCGAACCATAAAAGCAAAACGCGTCGGTGACGAATCCCTCAACAGATTTCCTTTGTTCACTTCGCCTCCAACACTAGGCTGCAAAGCATCCCAGACAATAACTGGAAGCTAGCTATTTCGCAGTCAGCACTAGAGTGAGTACTCAACCTTATGAATCTCAGTCGATTCACCTTTGGATCAATGCTAGCAGTGGTATCTCTCTGAAGAACTTTTCGGTTTCTCTGTTGCAACTGTTCACAGCAAAACTATGGTGCCGAACTAAACTTTTCACCTTATTTCGAACTGATCGCAGTTACAACTTTTCGAATCCAATTAGCAATCAATCCGAATCCCAGAAGTTTTCTTGAGGAAAAAGTTTTTCTTGTCTCCATTGGGTTCTGATGATTCCTAAACATGCAATAATACTCAAATTGTTATACGATGCGCATCAAGTGGGAAGAAGAAAGATAGGTTATGGTTTTGCTAGCTAAGCAAAACCATTTTTAAATATGCAGGTGGGTAATCACATGCTTTGAACTGCAAACCTAATCAGATACCTCATGCTACCTTTTGTACTGGAAGAAGATATGACGAGAAATATGCAGATATCGAAAATGCTTTCCAAAACATATAACTGGGAGTTTGCAACGTGCTAGCCAGAAAAAATACCTAGAGTGACCGGCAAACACACTTCAGTCGCTGTTCTGCGATGGCCTACAATCTGGGCCTGGTCAGAGCGCTGTCTGGCACAGCCAGATGTATCCGTACAGCTCACCAACCGCCGAATGGAAAGGGTCCCGTTAGCCTTACATAAGAAGCATGACTCGCCCAATCTGACCACCACATCTAGAAAGGAGAAAGTGATGTGTTGACAGCTTAAGTACAACCACTTCTCTAACAACACCTGGCAGAAAATTCAATCCGCTACGAAGCACATTTACAGAGCAGCTCAGCTGCATCCGGTCCCGGAAGCCAGAACACTTATGCTTCAAGATAGTTCTCGGAATTCTAATGATCGTTCTGTCGCACATGTCATTTACAATTTCACTTGCAGTTTCGGTGACCCATGTATCTGCGTTTCTGGTCTACACCTCTCTCAAAAGATCTCGCAACACATTCCAAATCAATCGCAGCACAGCGGATCAACATAAACAACGGTCAGATGGAGCTGAAGTTCGTCGATTGCGATACACGGTTCTGTGACAAACCGTCTGCTCGACCTTTTCGTGCTCTCAATATAATTTTAGTAATTGAAAGCCGGAGCTGTAATTTTGATAAGCGTATAGCAAACCAATTGTGTGCACACAAATGATCGATCGAAGCTGTCCGACTATCTTGGAGCTGAACCCAAACCAACCCCACCCCAGAACCGTAGGTCATTCAGTGTGTTTGACCCGTTGTTACTACGTTAGTCATACAAAGCTCTTGAATGTCTTACTCCTGTGACTGACGACAATGATTCGGAAATTTTGCCTTCCAGTTGTTCTGAGGTGACTTAGGGTTCGAAAATTGAAAGGACAATAGAATCCACGGAATATTACTTCGGCAAGATATGGTACCGGTCCCCGCTTTGGGAATTATTCGAGTGAGCTTGTATAAATACTAAGCTGTACAAGCTAGCCTACTCCATTCTTAATTCTGCGGTCTAACCTTACACTGTTCATCACGAGCCACCGGAATCTGTCTCACTTCAAACGGCTACGCATATCGATACTCTCTGCAGTGTGCGATATGCATCCACCTAGATTTGACTTGACCAAGCTCATGCGTTGAAATTCACCAACAATGCTGCGCATTTAATCCTTATTCTCCATCCACAACTGGAACGGGAATTCCTCCAACTTCCAATTTTCTATTAATCGCGACAACTGATTCCTGCTTATATTCTTTGTGTCATGAATCAGATATCCCGGCGTCTTATCCAGTATATAATGCATTACTTTTACTTCCCGGACACTGTTTACTTCTTCCGACTAATGTTCAGTAATTTGGCATTGGATGTACAGTGGCCGTTCCGATTGTTTTCAGTTCAACAGACCACGCGTTTATCAGAATTGACATCCAACCTACCTACAGAAGCTGTGAGTTGGCATCAACAAGCGCCCCACTTTTCCGGTAATCCTCCACTCAACTGAATTAGTTATAGGGATGCAATAATTTTCCGAGCATAACCAACCAGCGAACAAATCACGACCATGTGGAAAGT